AGATTTGACCAATCCTGTCAAGACAGAAGTTGGCCATGACAATCTGTCTCATTCTTTTACCATATTATACAAGCCTCTTTTAGCGAGTTATACGAACACGATTGCAATTTTTCTGCCATGTTATACGAATCTGTCTTATATGAACCCGTGTTATAGTGGGGTCTACTGTACTTATAGAAAATGCTACATCATACACAAAACAATACAACATATTACATCGAGTTGTAAACTTTCATCATATTTGAACTACTGGTGTCACATAACCAAATAACAAACATAATACACAAAAAACTTGCATATAAACATAAATTACTACAGACCAAGCTCCTTGCTACAAATATATACCTCAGTCTTAAGAAACACACAAAGTATACTATGACCAAGCCATAATCACAGACAAAAATCCATTACAATACATCAGACATCACACTGATTGACAAACAAAACAAAATTACATATTATGTCTTTGTCCACTTTTGACTTTCTTATGAACTAGGACTTGTTATACTGAGGTAAGAGAATCAAACAATTTCAAATTAAAACACCTTTAATGTAACATAATCCTATATGCGACCACATTTTAGCACTAAATTTACAGTTAGAGTTAAAATGCATAAGACTCCTAAACAATATTAAATGTTACGTACTGTATGGTTTGAAAAATTTGTAAAAAAACAAATTAAATGAACTTGAAATATCTAATTATAATATAAAGAATACTGACAATTTAATAACAAATTTAAAAGGGTTTGATATACAGATCAATATCCAATGAGCACATTCTATGACTTGAGTATGTACAGTACCTAGCATACAAATAACGGATATTCAAGATGCCTTACAAACAGTGAAATGCCCAGAATGGTTCAAAGAACTAATTTATAATTAAAAATAATTATTTTCACTTTAACAATGTATATTACACAAAAAATAAGGAATCCCTGTGAACACATGTGAGTCCAAGATTGGCAGACTTGGTTATGAAACTTGTCAATATCAAAATGGCTAGTATAAGGTGGAATTGTTTCTTTCAATACATGTGTGTTGATTTTTGATGAGAAAAAATTACACCAGATCAAATATTAGTCCAAATTGAATAAAATCATAACTTTTGAATTATAAATGGAAAAAAGTTGCATTCTTGTATATTTAGATTTATTATTAATAAGAGAAGACAAAACACTTGAATATCAGAAATATATAAAGCCAATTACTGTACCAAAAGTGATAAACTATTATTTGTCTGTTCCAATTTCAGTGAAAAGAAATGTTTTTAAAATATACATCAAAATCTTAAAAATAGAACAACCAAAACAGAAAAACAAGATGAAAAGATCAAATCAGTAATATATATGTTCATGTTAAATCAATATCTTATCAATACTTATTAAGTAAATAGTTAATGAAAACACAAGAAATAAGTCAGAAATTGAGTGGAATAATAATATGTTATCTTATGTTCCTAAAATATTCAAAATGATAAAGACAATTGTTAAAAATGAAGGCATTACATTAACACCAGAACAACAGACTTAACAAATTACTAAGATTGAATAAAGAAGAAATATCCACTGGTACATTTGATATAACAAATTGTACACTCTTTCTAATGTAGTTTTTCAGAAAAATTCAGATATGTTGGAGAAACAAAAAGAAAGTTAAGTAAAAGGATAACCAAACATGTAAGAGCAATAAAGTATAATTATCCTAATTCGGCAGTAGTGGCTCATTGCAGTACATGTGGATGTGAAATAAATCAAAATACAGTGGTACCTCAGGACACAAATGTCCCAGCATATGAAATTTTCAGGATACGACATGAAAATCGAACACATTTTTGTTCCACGATACGAACAAAAACTCACCATATGACGTTACATTAGTTCACAGTGCCATTTTTTATTCACTTTTGTTCATTGGTCTCAGTCAGCATGTTTGCTTCGTCGTGGAAGGATCTCGCTAGATAAAGGAAATCTTGAGGAATTATCAGAAAGTGACTGATTTTATTGAAAAGAAACGTCCCAAAAAGGTTCACACTAGCTGTATTGCTGCTTAGAGTAATGGCATTTGCCTAAGTCATTTTAGAAACATTTTAAAAAGTAGGCAAAGCCAAACGTCTTTGGATAGATACGTGTATTTTACCAAGCGACCTCTATCCAGTGAAAGTGCTAGTGGAAGTGAAGAAAGAAAGCAAAAAGTAGTGAATAAAAATTAAAAAATATATATATATATATAAAACAACAATAATTTTTTTTTTATCTTTTCTAAGTTATTTTTAAGTTATTGTTACATTATGTTATGTAAATTAAGTTTTAGTATCATTTCCCTTCTCCCTCTCTTCTGCCACCAGTTTACACCTCTACCGTCGTCTATCCTCAAAGGTAAAATGCAAATAAAACTACATTTTTTAAATCAATTATTATTCTATTATGGTCATTTATACATTTACAACTACAAAATGCATTTTTCAGTGTTTTCCTTACTATAGATTTTTTTTTAATGTACTACTTAGCTTTAATTTGAGTGTATTTTTCGTGTTGGAACGAATTATTTGGTTTTACATGTAATCGTATGGGGAAAAATGATTCATCTTAAGACATTTTCATGATACGATCTCAGTTTCGGAACAGATTAATTTCGTATCCTGAGGTACCACTGTACAGTGAACATAGAAAAAAGCAGAGAAAAATACCTACAAAAGACAGTTGTTTGAACATTTGGAAATAATTTCATCTAAAGATTTAAAAATGAATAAAAATTTGGGCAGAACGATAGATAACTCCTGGTACAGTTTGTTAAACACAGAGGGAACTTAAAAACCTTAAAGAAGAGTTAATGCCATATGATGAAGTGGTGTTAGCAGGATAATTTCCCAGTTGAATTCTGTGTTGGTAATTGGTGTAAAGAATAAGTGCTGGTTAAATGAATGAAATTGCATTGTAAGAAACAGGAAAACATCCAAGAACTTTTACTGGTAGGATGACTTATAATTAGTACAGAAATAATATTAGTAATTTAGAATTAAATACAGTAGATCTGTTTTTGGTACAGGAAGAATTTTAAAATAGTAGTTTAAAAGTCTGTTCTGAAAATGCTAAAAGGAATATATAGGTGTGTTAAAATATAAACTTGTAAATATATTATAAAATATTAATTTAGGAGAAAATCAAAGCAATCTTGTGGCTTGATAATGCAGTTAGATATGGTCCAGTCATAAAAAGATTTATAGCAGCATGAGGTAGCTATAATAAAACAAGTAAACATGTGGGAGGATGACCACCCACATTCCGGTCAGCATAAGAAAGCTTTTGCATGCGACCACCTTTCTGATTGGTCAGAAGTTGGCTTACAAAAATCATTTAAATTGGGAAGAAGATCAAAGACAGAGATATGGAGGATAAGACTCATACTGATAGCACTTACATCTCAGATACTCGGCAAGGCCAAGGATAGGGAGTGAGAACACACCTCCAGAAGAACAATCAGAAATTATCAAATAGACATCTCTGATTATTCCAACTTAACCTTGATTGTTAGTGTATCAATTAATACAGTGTGGTGCCGTAATAAACTGTATGTACCAAACAAGTTGAGTGTGGAGGTGTATTTCCTATGAACCTACTGTACTGTACATTTGGAACGTCTTGGGCTGGGCTAACTCAAGAAAGCTGCTTGAGGAGATGGAGGACAGATGAGGAATCTTTACTTATATATTTTAAAAAAATATATTTGTATAAATTAATGTATAATTTTTTTAAATTGTAATGGACAAAGGCATAATATATAAGTAACTAAGGATAAGAAGCACATATCAAAAACAAAATTACACCTATCACAAATGTAATAATTTCAAACATTCACAAAGTATAAAACACATATGCTAAAAAATCTAGCAAATATTCAGAACACGCCCATAAAATAAAGCACGCACAAATAATAGATAAGAAGCTGTGACATTCATACAAGAGAGAGAACTGCAGCAGTCTATCATATACACCATACAAAAGTCCAATATACATTAGATCATAATAATAATAGCATGAATATCACATTACAGAAAACAGTCATACTAAACAAATTTCACATTGCTAGGAAATTGTTAAATACAGACAGTTTCATTAATGGCACAAACAAAATAACAGCTTTCTTTGGTAGCTATGCTTTGACTTTGATCTTTCATTGCATTAGGTGTCAATTTTGATGACTTCAAACTAAAATTACTTAAATGTGAAATATTATATGTTCAAATCAAAAAATTATTTAATGGTATTTGCTAATTTAACCAAATAAACTTATATTTTGTGTACAAAATATAAAACATATTTTAAACACAGTTATAATTATTAGTAAATAATGTTTTTTTTATTTATTTAAAAATTTGTAACTACAGGGAAAATTCAAAAGTTTCCTTTAGTCCATTTATATGTAAATTTATTTCTGAATAATTTCTTTAACAAAATCGCACAAAATGTTTCTTTCAAAATATTTTTGTTGCTAGTTTAAATCTTAAATGCAATAAATTTTTCCCCATCCATTATGTCTGGACTTTGGTCTGGCAGAGTCCTCTGCAATGGCATTGCTTGACTTTCACTTTTATATAACCTCATAATAACAGTCAGATTATTGTTATTGTGATCTCTTTAGAAAAATTTTTATACTTTGGTATATTAATAAAATGATATTCCATGTCAAAGTGACCAAACTAAAACAGAAGTAGTGGAGCAAACGAAAACATAAGATCATTTTCTAAAATGAAGGCTGGTAAGAATCAATGGTCCTTTTAATTGAACATCATACAATTTTTCAAGAAAGCCATTAAATAGATTAGCACCAGACATCACAGCTTCTGTTAAATTACACAAAGTACGTGTGAAAATCATCAGTCCTGATCGGGATCTAATTCAGTTGACAATGAATCTTAATTATATTAAATGCAATTTTTCAACATTCTATACTTTTATATTTCAAATATAAAATTTTCTTATATTAAACATTTTCAGATGATATGGCAAGAGCTTCCTTTGGAGAAGTTAGAAGGAAGTTGAGCGATTCAACAGACTAAACTTTAACTCGTTTGAATCTGTCAAGAAGTTTCACAACTCTATGTCAAAACGTGGCTATTTTGTATATTGAAAACGTCACTGACCGGCTCAGACAAAGAAAGCCGGCATCTTCGGCATACAAAATACGTCTTGCACAAAGCTAGACTATAAGGATTTTAAAAGTAAATAAATTTTCATATATACTGATTGGAATTGAAATTTTTTTTTATTTGCTGTGTAATCTAGTTTTAAGATTTTGTTTCAATGTCTCCCATGATATAAATTGTCATTACTAGTCCTTCGTACTTAAGTTGTGTGAATTTTTTAAAAAATAAAAATATATGATTCATGTGATAAAGCTTTAAAAAAATTAAAAATTGTACATTTTGCTATATAATCCAAAGTTAACAAAAATAAAATTATCTTTTATTTATGTTTTTTCCCCGTGTTATGAAATAAGAGTAGAGAGTAATTTAAAAGAACATATTCATTACTATATTCAATCGATGTGTCCGTAGTTACCTGTACAGTTTGATTATTTTGTTCTTGCGTGTTCTGTCCAGTTTTGAATCAGACAGATTATTTTGAATTTGACTACAAAACGCAACTTAATTTTCCAGAGAAACATTTGTTATATAAGGAAAGAAAATACAAAATTTGTCACAGTTAAAATCTTACTATTTTTGTTATTGCAATTATTAATAAAATAAAAATTGCCTCAAAAACTAAGAGACTTTTAAGAAATTACATGTTCAGAGATTTTCAGAAATTTTATTTTCCAAACCCAATACAATATTGGATATCACTTAAATCTTTCTTTCACAGAATATCTCTCTAAAGGAAGGGAGATGGTGCAAAAGGTTAATTTAAACATTTTCAAAATTTAATATCATATGAAGTGAAACATCTAATCTCATGCCAGAGTTACAATATTTATTATAGCTAATATTCCATCGTTCGAAACCAAATTAACAAATTCAACAACGTTTTGGCTATTTTGTTGTAGCACTTTGCACTGTTTCTCGCTACTAAAATAACTGTTAATACAATACATAAAATCACTGACGATCTCTCGTTATTTACTTACGAGAAAAAATTTTGTTTTTCTTATATATATGGTAACATTTATGTACAAAACAAAGCTCTCTAAGAATTAACAAAGAAAAATATCCTCCTTTAACCTGCCTGCAGAGGCAGAACCGCAATCTCAGTCGACACTTGCTAGGCACATCGGTTTGACTGAGACGTCGAAGCTCTTGAACGGTAATGTTTAAAAAAAATTACAGTGCAAGATACAAAACATGCATTATCTAGAATCTTCAAACGTGATTATTGCACACAGTAAAACTTATTTCACATGAGTAAAAAGTGCAGTCTGTATACGTTAAATCCCATAACAACAAATTAGAGACAAAATAGCACCGGACACCACGCGTTAACACGCTGTGTATTGCGTACACATTAATCATACAACAAAACAGAACAAGCGTACCGACAATGACGACAAATGGCGATTTTGTTCCACAGGGAACGTAAGATTTTTCGTCAGACCACTCTACGCCCGAAATATACCGTTACTGCCAACGTACGTCAAACTATAAGTTTACTTTAAACGTATATACAGTTTTACTTAAACACGAGTCTTTGCGGTCGTCGAACGGATCGAAAATTCTTTGTTGGTGCCCGACCGAATTATTCGACAAATCCGTGTATAAAGAAAAATCGAACGACTTTTTAAGAATATGCATCTTCTCGAGGAACTACATTTATTCTCGTGTATGATAACCTGAGTAGATTCCTATATTGGAGCTGCCTTTATTTTGGTAGTAAAATCTTTGGCATGGAATTCTATGTAGAAGGTCTTGTAATTTTTAAGCATACTAGAAATACTGCACAAAATTTCATATCAATATTACGAGGAACTATTTTTAAATGTAGCACCAGAGAGTGAGAAGTGAAGGGTTGAATCATAATCTAATAGAGAAGCCATTGCTATAAATTTAAATGTTTCTAGTTTTTCAATAAACATTATTATTTTATTTCTGTAATTAGCTTTCTTATTTAATATCCTTATTAGAATGCAATTCAATAGTTTAAGTTAGATTCCAACTAGCACGGTCACTCAAATTTCTTTTTACAATTCTTTAAAATTGCAGTACCAGAAAACTCTAAATAAAATTTAAATTAAACGAGCACGAAAGGCGATCTTGGAGAACTTTCGTCCGCTCGGACGCAAAAAAATAAAAATAAAAATAATAATGGGAATGTTAAGGCTCTCAACAGCAAAATTATCCTAACGGATCAGACCAGACATATCACAGATGACATTTGATGGCAGTGATCACGTACAATACATATTGTGTAGCTCTATCCTTTGACGCTCGCGGGAAAGCGACGCAATTTTTGACACGATTCCGACGGTACACAACGTGGATTGTCACAGTCTTATCACTCATCTGTCGGGAAAGCATCACATGCTTTACCAAGGAAGAGCTTTATCACAAGGGAAGGGCGTAGCCCAACAAACTTGTACTTAAAGCACAACAGCAATATTTTAAAACTATTATATAAATAGTTAATTCAATACAAATCACAATCTAAGTAAAAGCATGCTAAAGATTACCATCAAAGCACCAAAATTCTCCTGCAGCAACATTTTAAAAAATTATTTTTGATTAATTTCAATTGAAAAAAACATTTAACTTTTTATTCCAGAGCTATAACAATGTGTTTTGAACACCAAATTATCACAGCAGATAACTTTTAAGTATAATTTTTGGAGTCATTTTTATCAAAATGAGCTTTTAAAAAGCATTTTTTAAAACATTTTTGATTTTTTTGCATTCTATTGCAAATGTTAGAAAATTTTTGATTGCTCTTTATTTTAACAACAGTTACAAATGCAAATATCACATGAATTTTAAATTTGAATTTCAAAATAAAGATTTTGTCAAAACAAAGCAAACTCTCAAAAATAACAATATTTGCTTTCGATCGTATTTCAACACAATTATTCTGGAAGGTTTTGAAAGTCGACTGGCCCAGTACGTGAAAACTGATGCTTGATTTATTGTGGCTGATTTTCCACCGAAACTATCAAGCCAAATAATAAAATATGCTATAAAATTATCTTTGAAATTTCATTTAGATAATTTTCAGAAGTTCTATACATTTTATCAAAAGAAATTTTAAAATATTTTTTTATTATTATAATTATTATTTTATGTATTATAAATAATTTTAATAATGAATTTATTTATTATTGGTGCACTTTTATTGCACAATAACAACTTGAAATAAAGTTTTTATATATATTAAATAATAAAGTAGTATTTTAAAATCATAAATTTTGAGTCATTATTTCCTGAACAAATTCCACCAAATTTAATTAAATAGAATGCAAATTTGAATGTGAAAATTAATTTGAGTAGAAATTACTGGCATTGTAACTACAAGCAATACTATGAAAATGATAAGAAGCATTTCATTTAAATGAAAAAAATAATTTTAAACCCATTTCTTTTTAAAACAAATTTAAACTACAATTATATATAAATTAAATATACATTTTTCTTAGGAAACTCAAAAAAATTTTAAAATGTTGCTGCAGCAATAAACAAGTTTTAAACTCTTTTTACAACTAAAAAAATTCTAATTAAAAAAAAAAGGAATGTCGTACAACACATATCTTTGTTCACGTGCATGTAATTAATATGGAAATACATTCCTTCTAATTGAATATAAATTTACGTATAATTTCGAGCTTTTATCTTTTGGTAACTTCCTTTCTCTGACAATGAAGTTTTCTTCTGTGCAGTAATAACTGATAACTGTACCAAAAATGTGCCTTACATTTCTTACATTCATAAACTGGCTTTCGATGGTAGAGAATGTGAAGCAGATAATTTTTCTTGTAACGGAAGTACAGGGGTTTCTGACATAATTTGCAAATGAGAAGTGGCGTTTCTAGATATTTCTGAATCTTGGCGGCGTACTTTGCGAGAAATAACTTTCTGGCAATGGCTATTTTACAGTCATTATCACAAACTGGTAGATTTCCAGAGAGAATGCAGTCAGTGTTTACTGAGAGGTGAATCAGTTTCCTGGGACTGGGTTGTTTCCGAGTCCTGCGGCCATTGCCGCTGTTCTGGGACTGGACGTCGGAACTCTCGTTGGATGCTGTCGCCGCACGTTGACTAGACTGTCGGTCGAAACCCTCGGCAGAAACTACGAGCGGCATTCCGTTCGACGGACTTACGTGCATTCTAAAATATTTTTGTTCAACTTTGTTACACAGTTGGCAGAGACCCATGTGGTGATATTCTCTGTAGTGATGAATGAACGAGTGATGCGTACTGCACGGTTGAGCGCAGTGCGGACAGTGTATGACGCCATCATTGTCATTGTGCTCCTTCTGTACGTGTTCCCTGAGGACCGATTCAAGCGGAGTGCAAAATGTGCACTCATCTCCCGCTCTACAGAGTAACAATCTTCCACTGTGGAGTTTCATGTGTTCCATCATCATGCGTTGGGTAGCACTCACATAGCCACACAAGGCACAACAATATGGATATCGTGGATCGCCAAATTTTTCATCGGGAGGATTTTGATGGTAAACTTCAGTATGCGTCTGAAGAGAATTTTCATTAGCAAATTCACAACCGCACTGACGGCAAATAATTTCCGACGTTTTATATATGTTACTGTTGCTTGAAGTATCTATGTTCAATAGGACAATACCAAAAATTTACTTTTGTAAATTAACATTTCATGATATATAGTAAAAATATTAATAAAAGCTCACCTTTAATTTTGTAATGTTTCTCTTGTCTATGATTTTCTAAAATTGAAGGATTCGTAGTTCGGAAATCACATCCTATAATAGAACACTGAAGCAAACTCTGGGAATGGGCCAATATTGAATGCGTTTCCAAATCCGATCTAACATCGAATGTTTCGAAGCACAGGCTGCAAGTTAATTTCACTTTTGCCGCACTTTCAGCACTACAATAACAAATTAATTAGCTTAATTTTTGCAAAGTCATAACTATATTTATATTTATAATTATGAAATTTTATAGTGTTAACATGAATTGTATTTGAATAATTTTTGTTTTTTAAAATATAATAGCTACAAAGTTGATAAAATTTCAACACAACTAATAAATCAATTAAAAAGTTAAAAATGTCTTTCATCCCGTTAGTGGTAAATTCTTTTAATTATTAACTTACAAATCAAAATTATATACCTTAAATATAAATTTTAAAATTAAATTTAATCTATTACATCAATAAGTGAACTTTTAATTTTAGTTTTACAAAGTTCAGTTACTAATAAAAAATCTCCCAAAATAACAAAGTAGCCCCTATTCTATTAGACCTTTCTTTATAGGTACTGTTGGAATCTGAAATAGTAGCCTACATAGTAAAGTGGCAGTAATCAATAACTCAAAACTGGGTATATCTAATAAACAAGGTGAATGAAACCAATTTCCAGCACAAAATTATAAGAAATCAAACATTTTCAACTGCATTAAATGGAGTATCTTCAGGCTAATTGCAGGAAATAGCCTGAAGATACCCATTTAACATGGTCAAAAACATTTGCTTGTAAGATTGTTAAGGAAATTGGTTTCATTCATCTTGTTTATAAAGTGGTAGTATCAGCAACTTGTGAACAACAGTAGTGTGGAACACAAGAAATGTGCTGACAATCCGCCAGTTAGTAAGATGTTGATAAGGCAAAAGAGACTTTTATGTGGAAATAACTCATAAATCCAGTTTGGAATTGATAATCCTGTTATCAACAGTTAGGAAAGTGTTGTATAAATGCTTGAAACTATACGCATACAAAATTCAGTTGCTTTGTGCACTGAAAGAGGACAATAAACCATGCCATTACGAGTTCATTGTTCAGTTTCTCAACAAAATCAGCTGTGACACTTTCTTAGGAAAAGTCATCTTTATGTGCAAAGCAACCTTCCATGTTTCTGGATATGTTAACCTCCATAATTGTTACATTTGGGGATAAAAAAATCCTTGTGTAGTCTGTGAACATAAATATGAGATGGCCCAAAGCCAATCCTTGATGTGCATCGGTTGTGGATAGTGATTGGACAATTCCTTCTTTATAGTGACCAGCACCACATACTTGAACATGCTAGAATATTACATGAAATATACAGGTGGAACACTGACAACCAAATGTTTACTTTAAGTGGATGGTGCATGACTGCACTAGGGGTTGACCGTCTAGACCAGTGATGGCAAACCTTTTTGAAAAGTGGGTCAAATTTTGTTCATTATTTTTTTTTAGTACTAGCTTGTGGGTTACTTGGAAAGGGAAAGGGGAGGATGGTTAAAAACTACTTTTTTTTTTGTTCTCACTTTTAAAATTCTCTAAAAAGTTTGTTTCCTTTTTGTTTTACAACTTTTACTTTTGCAAGTGAAGAGCAAAAAATAAAGGTCGACATCAAAAAATTGATATCAATGGGGTGATACCATGAAGTACCGCACCAGATGACACCATTCAAATACTCAGTACAGTCGCCCCTGTACTGAGTATTTGAATGAACAAGGAATAAAGAAAATCACATATATATAATTAAATTGCCTCAATGTCCTTTTTTCCTTATTAATATGTAAATTTTCGACTATAAATTCGACTATCTTCTATTATCAGGACTTATTATACTGGTTTTACAGATAATATTACAAAGATTAACAGAAAACAATTTTTATTTTATTTCGTATACCTGGTATACAGGTATACGAAATAAAATCTTTGTAATATTATCTGTAAAACCAGTATAATAAGTCCTGATAATAGAAGATAGTCGAATTTATAGTCGAAAATTTACATATTAATAAATCACATATATATTATGAAATATTATTTATTAATAGATATAGTTACAGGTATGTGTATGTATAATAAAGTTGAAGTATATTTAATGAGAAATCTGTTGTCGTTTATTTTCACATAGTTTCTTAATATTAGGTTCATATTCCGTATTCATCAGTTTAACACATTTCGCAGTCAATTCATTTCCAAGTTTATTTCTATTGGTACATTTTACAAAATTTATTGAAGAAAACAATTTTTCACATGAATATGTGAACCCAAACATCATTAAAAGAGCATTAGCAAGTTTCTTCATTGATATAAAATTATTTGGTAAAGAATCCTATACGTTTAATACAGTATAATATTTTCCATTTTTAGTGTGGTATCATTATTATCTGCACTACTTTCAGACATTTTTCCTTCTACTTCAAAAATCAAGTTTTCAAATTAATTTTTCCACACTATGCTGCTTTGAAATTCAATTAATTCCATTTCTAAATCATGGATAACAAGCCACATAAATTTGGTTAACTCCATTGCTTTGAATTCTGTTTTGTATGGATATAAAATAAAGTGAAATGTATCTTCCAAACTTTTAAATTGATTAAATCTCTCCTCAAAAGCTTGTTTTATTTCCTGTATAATCATTAAATATTTTTAAATTGCATTTTCTTGAATTTCAAGCATATTTTCAAAAATTATTTTGTTTTGAAAATGTTTTTCAAAGCAACTGAGCCATCGAACAACGTTGTATGTCAAAATCCCTGAATACTGGCACTCAATTTCCTCTAATAATTGTGCAAATTGTCGTTTATTAAGACCTCTTGTTTTTATAAAGTTAATAACTTTTATTACAACTGGCATTACATTGGAAAATGTTTTTAAGCCTTGCTTCACACACAGAACTTGCTGGTGTATTATACAATGAAATTCAATCAGAGAATGTGTATTTTGCTTAAGATACTGAATAAAACCAATGTTTTCCCCACTATATTGGGTGCACAGTCTGTTGTTACAGAAACAATTTTCTGTAGGTCAATATCCATTTCTTTATATAAATAGATATAAATAAATGAAACTCATGCCAAGATTGTATAATTTCTTGATAACAAGCACTGAGTTCAGCATTAATACAAAATTTTCTTATATCGCAAGTACTTTCGACGAGTATTATATCATTGTCCTCAGGCGAAAAAGAACAGATTTGAAAAATAGAAATAAAAATAAAATTTCCACTTGGAACACTCTGCAAGTTCTATTTTTCAAATCTGTTCTTTTTCGCCTGAGGACGACGATAAAGTACTCGTCGAAAGTACTTGCGATATAAGAAAAATTCATATTAACGCTGAACTCAGTGCTTGCTATCAAGAAGCTATCCATTTCTTTAAATGCAATATCAAATTCTTTAAAAATATCAAGACCAGTACACTTCCCTTTCAACATTATTAGTTTCATTAGCTCTTCTTTCATTATATTGCCTGATTTATATCGAGCAAAAACTGCTAATTGTGCATAACCATTTACATCATTACTCTTATCTAAAGCAATTGACTATATTTCTGCATAATTTAAGTGGTTATGTATTTGTGAAAAAAATATTTCTTTCTAATTCTACTACTTGATCTTTAATTGTATTGCGACTTATTGGCAATTCATTTATACACTTTATAATCAAGTCTTTTTGTTTAAAATCTGCAAACAAAGTAGTGTGGTGATTTCGTGGTGAGGTGTAATGAGTTCCACGAATAGACCGACACAAAATAAACGAATCAAGTTAATTTAAACAAAAGTATGATTTCTTTTTATTCTCGCCAGAAAGAACAGAAACAGGTTCTTTATGGATCCCAACGTTATAAAGTTAAACTCTTGTACAGGCGTTCTGTCTTTAAGTACAAAAGGAGAACACATGCAAGACAGAGCCCGACAATCAGACTCATGTAGATCTTAAAACTAAAACTTATTCTACTTATAACTAGAGGAAAGGAAAAAGAATAGATAGAGGTTTGAATAGAAGAATATTGAAATACCCGAGATTTCCTTTTCTTTGCGTATATACAGTACTTGGGTGGGACACCACTACTAAGTTCGTCTTGATTTCTTTTGTTGTAAACGTCCCGTCTTCTCAGTGAATCTCTCGTCTTTCGGTAACTCTCTCTTTTACTCAAGCACGTTATCCTAGAAGGTCTCCCTTTTACTAAATCTGACCCTTTTGGCTTGTAGTATCTTCTCTTTTGCTTCTGCCGCTGACCCACGCATGCCGTTCAAGAGTGATTCTTCTTACACCCTCTCTCTCTCTCTCTCTCTCTCGTCTAGGCACAAAAGTGAATCTCCTTCCTTCTTGTAAGACCTCCCTGGTTCTTACTTTTCTACTGTTCTCATTGTTTAATTCTTCGAAACGGTAATCCCACCCAAAGGGTAAACGGAGTGGGAAGGGAAATTTTTAGAGAATAGATAAGACTAAGAACAAAGGAATTGCTAAGACTAACTTATATTACATATAAAAATTCGCGAATAATATGGCCGACAGCCACAGTAGCACTACATTCTAAAAAGGCCTGTTATTTTACAAATTCTCCTCTGAAAGAGGTTTCCCGTGACGAGCAATGCAATGGCAACTTGAAAACTAGCAGCTGTAATGTTATTTTTTGGAATCAAAAAGTTTTTAAAAACACTGGTTTGTGAATGATTCTCTTTTTTCTTTTGTAAAAAATATGTTCTTCTTTCCTTGTCTGTTGACAGACGAGATTAGAATGCAACTTTTCAAAATGTCTTTTTACATTGTATCAGGTCAGTCCATAAGTTCCCCAGTATTTTATGATCTTGAGAAAAATCTTGTTTTGCTGTTAAAAATGCCAGTCTAATGTGATATTTTTTACACTGAAGTGTTAAATTGGATCTCATTCATATAATACTGTTCAGAATTGGGAACATTTCAGTTGTTTATTTTCATTAAAATGGAAGTAACAGATGAATATAAGAGACATGTTTTATACTTTTTATTTTTAAGTGATGAGAATGCTACAAATGCAGCCAAAAAATTAAATACTGTTCATAATCAAACTGTAATNGCGTATATACAGTACTTGGGTGGGACACCACTAATAAGTTCGTCTTGATTTCTTTTGTTGTAAACTACCTGTCTTCTCGGTGAATCTCT